TACAGCCTGGAAACAAATATAGGCACGCAACATGTACAAAGTGAACTATGAGACCATTATGCACCTAACATGACTTAAAACAATGATAATTGGTTTACTGCATGACTTTGAGACTCAATGTTGGCTTCTGTTGTACACAACAATCTCTCTCGCTCTGAGTTGACATTGCCCGATTCTATGATTTACGGGTATTATAGCAGATGTACAGTAAAAACCGTACACCAGGGGCTTATTTTTATCCAAAAGGCTTCTTGGTGGGTTATTATTTGAATTGCTTATTATCAGAGCGATTCCCGCAAGGAAGAAATCTCTAAAAACAAACAACAAAAAATGGAACACGCAACTTGTGCTTCAATCATCAGATAAACATAGCAAAGTCTTTAAAATACTGTAATGATTTATGACAAAAAAAAATCCGACTATTTACAGTTCCTTAATTTAAGAGCTGAAACTAAATTACAAGCCTTCAGTGGTTACCGTCTGGGGAAGTTATTTTCGTGAGGGAGGAGAGGGGTAAGGTTGGGGCTTAGTAGTACACCGTCCTTTTATAATTCTATCCTTGGACGTGATCGAACTGCGTTTGAATAAAACACTGCCATAAAGATTGAGTATAGAGCCCTATATGTAGTTGAAGACGTACCGCAAGAGATCTTTATCGAGTGAACTATAGAAACATAGGCATGCAATACGTGCGAATAGTAATACTTACTTGGATGGTAACACACGGGAACATTCACCCATTCTATGTGCGGTTTGAGTCCTCCCCACTTGACACAACAACAGTCTGAGAAAAACAGAAACATTAACTGTCATATTTGCCAATGCTATTTGAATGACTTTCATAAACGAATAGCATAACGGAACACCTAGGCCCCCATGCGGGAGTGCTCCCTGTAATGGCCTCCACGGGGAGGCTCCGGGTGAAAGGGGCACCCTTTACAGGCTTCAGGTATATAAAATGTAGGGTGTTCACAAGTTGAGGTGTATGAAAGGGAATAGGGAAATCTGTCATGTAGTTTTTAAGGATCTTTAATTAAAATGTTTCGAAAAGACGCACCTTATGGCCATATGGCTGTATCATTTCATTTGCTAGGTACTACGTGAAAATGGCGAGAAGACTTCCTTTTTCGGGCGATTTATTAATAATACGGGCCAGGTGTAAAAGTACTGGAAAGGAGTATCTTTTCTTCAATTAAAGGTGTACGAAAGGGGTACTTTTTCTGTCAAAATGGAACAAAAACGGGTCAGAGGTTGGACCTCTGGGCGGAGCCTCCCCGTACAGAACTTTGCAGAGTAGCCCCCTCCCCTCCTCCCCCGGGCCCAAGCCGAATGACAATACGTTGTTACTGTATTATTGTTACTGCATTACTGTATTATTGCTGTATTATTATTATTGACGATTTTCATCATTATACTATTAAATAAGTCCCGATCAGCAATAAAGGTAAAAAACAACGGAATGGATAGTCAGTTAACTTACTACTTTTATAACCCTTATGAAAATACCTGAGGGAATGGGAGGGGGGGGATTAAACAAAATAGTTGCTACTTGTACTTATTGGGTATAAGATTCAAACGTTATTCAACACCTTGTATCCAATGAACAATCAAAATAACTTAAACTCGTTTGAGACGCTTTTCACTGGACCAGCTTTTCAAACCCGAGAGCTATCGTACAAATTGTACATAAGGAAGAGAAATCTTAGGAAGATATGATTGGAAAATTGAATTGGGAGGGTGCGTCGCTTAACGAGGGTGGAGGATTTTGGAGGTAGGGGACGCTTAAGAAATGAGAACACCCCCTTTGTCGTAATCTATCATCCTGGTTTGCCAGATATAAACAAGTTCAGTATTGCGGGACCTTCATCTAGTTATAGAGTCTTCGGAAAGATGTAAGAGAGCGTTAGGACAGGTGCTAATAAAGGCATTCAGGAGACCGAAGAGTTTGGCGGACTATTTGGCTCGAGCAAAAGTAACCAGAGGATTTGGAAGAGATACACAAGGGAGGACCTGTCGGTGTGGGTCAAGAAGATGTGAAGTCTGCGATTATCTCGATGATGGAGACCACTTCGTAAGTTCTCAGACAGGAAGGAGATATTCCATCAACTATAGCCTTAATTGTAACTCGAGCAACGTGGTCTACGTGCTAGGTTGCAGGTAATGTGCGCTACAGTATGTTGGATCCACTGTAACGAGGTTCCGATTAAGGTTCAATAACCTTAAGGCCAGAATAAGGCGACATCGAAGATTGAATGGAACAGAGCAAGAGAAAGATGACTTCCTGTATAACGACACTTTTGTGGGGACAGACATGATGGCTTGAGAGAAGATAGGATTCAATTGATAGATCGAGTGAATGGAGAGGAAGAACTAAGGGACAAAGAAGGCCAATGGGCCTGTAAACTGAACACTTTGCACCCCTACGGGCTTAATGGCAATGATTTTTTTCTTTGTTCAGAACAGGCGCTCAAGACGAGCGTAATTTATCGTGTACTTATGTTGGCGCGCGCGAGTTTGTCAAGGTTGTTACTTTTAAAAGTCCAATGATGCGTGCGGTTGTAACAGCTCATTTACCCTGACGAAGACTGCTGTAGGCAGTCGAAATATAGGATGTTATTTGTCTTCATTTGTGATAGTATATGTAAGAAAGAGATATCTTACCAGTTCCTTCCGCTCTACCTCCACCACGACCCCCGCCTCCGCCCCTACCGCCGCCACCTCTTCCTTGTTGGCCTCCTTGCTGGCCTCCTTCTTGGCCTTCCTCTTGGCCTCCCTCTTGGCCTTCTTCTCGGCCTCCCTCTTGGCCTTCTTGTTGGCCTCCCTGTTGACCTTCCTGGTCATAGTATCCCGGGTCCCCTCTAAAGTCCACCCAATCATTTTGTTTATTGTTTCTTTCATATCCATCGTCCAACGGTCTTGGTCTCCGTGGCCTCCGTCCTCTGAAACGATAAGGCCGATGACACCGACGCCGACGTCGGCGCCTCATGCAGGCAGCTTCAAGTTCTGGATCAGAACCTTCACTTTCCATGTCATCATCTTCACCATCATCCGCAGCTTGGTCGATGTCTGAATCCTCTTCAAGATCCTGACTGTCATCTCTTGCAACAGTCTTCCCTTGTGACGAAGCAGCGGGTACTGGTGCTGATACTGCGGGCTGTCCTGTAACCAAGGGCGCTTGTCCCGCAGTTTGTGCTAATGTATTTGTGGTCTGTCCCGTAGCTTGTGCCAAGGTGTTTCCGGTCTGTCCCGTAGCTTGTGCCAATGTGTTTGCGGTCTGTCCCGTAGCTTGTGCCAATGTGTTTGCGGTCTGCCCCGTAGCTTGCGCTAGTATGTTAGCGGGCTGTACCAACGGTTGAGCCAATGTATTTCCAGTAGGTTGTGCCTTAATAGTCTGTCCTACTGGTTGTACCGCGGTCGCAGTTGTCGCTTGTACAAACGGTGTGAGTCTCTGTCCCCCGGGCTGACCCGTATTCAATTGAGCCTGAGTCCCGGATACAGGGGATCCCGAGGGAATACTCCCCGAATAAATGGCACCTTGAATCTGTGCACTCCGCTTAGCCGCTGAGTGGCGGTTTGTATCGTTGGCGCCATTTATTCCCAACGTTTCGGTTCTTTTCAGTTTGTTCGAATTTTCTGATAGTGCTGTCCACTGAAAGCCGCTTAAGAAGATGAATATGATAATTAAGACGACAAACCATCCGCAGCGCATGTTGTATTTTATGTGTATCCAAAACACCACCTAGAACAGAATAAATATAATAACAACTTATCTGGTCTTATCAATTTCAAGCCCTATTGCGAGACGGTTATTCTGGCGCCCGCAAGTTTCTTCTTTTATTGCACCAATCTGTCAACAATTCTGACTTCAGCGCACTAACCGTAATTTATTCAAACTACTTTTAGCAAATGACAGTAACCGATTTCAACACTGCACTTTTGTTAGTTCATTTAATCGCTTTTTTCATTCATCAACGCGGTCATGACTTTGGTTGAAGAAACGCTTTATACTGATAAAGGCCGATACCAAAAACGTTTGTGCCTTTTCACAACAGGACTCTTTTCTCCGTCTCATTCTATTTTACGTTTATTTTATTTTATTTGTTTTGGGTTTTACTACTTTTTACACTGAGTTATAATACCATTCCGTCAAGTCCCAAGGGCTTGACGTACAACCCCAAAATTGACCCCTTCTAGGAGGAGCATCTTAGCAGAACGTCAGAACTTTTTCCTCTTATTATATTTGCCGAGAAAGTAGCCTGTTCTCGTTCTTCGCGCCGTCTCTCCACTACTAACTGAGGACGTTAGGGTTGCCTGAGTAACTGTTTCACTAGGAAACCGAGACCGGGAATTAAAACATTGTGTAAAACACTCTCACTAGCATAGCTAACAATTGTCAGAGGTGAGGTGTTTAATTAAGAAATAGAAAACATGTGCCGAGTCTCTATCGCGTTATAGAAACACGAGTGGAAGTTTGGGAGAACGAGAAATGCTGTGGGAACACGAGCCGCACGACGATTTTTAACCAATCAGCGCGCGTATTTTTTTAGGACTGTTTTCTAATAGCCATTATTATATGCCCAGGTCCCTGAGCGGGCAAGATGAAACGAATCCTGTGATGTGATTGGCTACCCAAGCGGGCAAGATGGCAGTATCTTACCCGCTCGAGATTACCCGCTGTGTCCCACAAGAAAATAGAGTTTGGGTTGAAAATTGACATGCATTTCAAACACGTGTTTACATATTTCGTGTACAATTTACCTTTTTAACTCAAGCAGTGCACTCTACCGTTGTAATTGAACCTGGAATTGTTCTAAGACCTTAACTCGTGTTATCCTCTTTGCCCCATACCCTCCATCATATATGGCTTATTGACCAAGCGTGAGGCCAACATGGCTGGAGATTGGCCAAGTTTTGTATTTTTTTCTTTGCGTGTTTATGGACCGAGACGGAGTTGAGGTCCATAAACACGCAAAAAAAAAAAAAAAAAAAAAAAAAAAAAAAAAAAAAAAAAAAAAAAAAAAAAAAANAAAAAAAAAAAAAAAAAAAAAAAAAAAAAAAAAAAAAAAAAAAAAAAAAAAAAAAAAAAAAAAAAAAAAAAGAACGAGGCCAATATCCAGCCATCTTGATCGAACAAGCTTGGTCATTAAAGCATTTGTTATATGGAAAAAGAACACTATTGGTTATTGTTTCCTTTGGCTCTGAACAGGTCCCTTCTTAGAGTTTCTACGCCTGTAATGAGCTACTCTTATATATTTCTGGGGTTTACGCGAAAGTTGAGTATGTATGCCAAAACAACCAAAAGAAAATGTTTCTTTGCTTTTTAGCGCCGGTAGGACATTAAGGAAATAATTATGACATGCATGATTTCGTCAAGCTAAGTTCTGCTAATTTTAGGACACCGCACTGTTGTCTAGCGTTGTATATATAAGTTGCTGCCCCTAGCCATTGCTCAAATGACAATTGCTTGAAAAAGCAGGCTCACAACTACTGAAATTATTTTCAAAATTGGTAATGAGTACTTACCTTGTTTTGGCAGATAAACTACATCATTGGACAGTTCTTTGGACGATTCACACTCTTCAACAGCGTAATTTCTTCATTCCACAAAACCTTTTTCTGGCCTTACGAATTTCCCACTTCTGACTGTTAAAAGTTCTTTGTACGCAAACAAAGAAAAATAACCGTTAAAAAAGAAAAGGATCTGTTGACTTTTTGGTTGTTTCGATGAAATGTCTTGCGGCGAAGAGAAAACTAAATTGATTAAAGAAGCTTACCTAACGAAAACATAAAATATTTATTACTTTGTAACGCAAGCGTTTTGGTCTCTCACTGGAAACTTTATTATTATCTTTGGGGTTTCGAAAACTACATATAACTTGTGCATATTGTTATGAGGATGTAGCGAAATCCAATCGCGGTTGATTTCAATTTCAAAGCTGAGTTAGCTTGAACAGTAAAGCGACTAGTTTTCCGAGCTTCCTGTTTCATTCGATGTCTGAAAGTACTTGAAAGGGCAGCGGTCACCCTAAATGAGGTCAACAAGTTAACTGTATACCAAACTAGTAACACTATATCGACTAGATACCTAGAAATATGGCCCGACAGATTTTGCACTGAGTTGATGGCTTCATCTCCCGGCTGGGAGAGAATTATGGAGTATTCGAGCCGCCGCAATTAAACGTCTTGCTGTTGTGTGGACTATATATCGATGTATGGCTGTCATGTTATTTCAACGTCAAGGAAAAAATAATCATAATCATATTGTTACTGTTATGCGCTTCTAATATAATTTGTTTTTTTTTTTCTTTTTACGAACACTTTCTCGAGCATGCACCTTCGTCAAGAGAGAATGAAGGGTAACATATAGGCCTTGTTCACAAGGTTATCCCTCAAGGATCCCTCGAGTAAATTCAAGATATGGTACCCAGTTCTTCCCCGGATGTCAGCACGTGCGTTGCGTAATCCACGTGAGCACATTCTGTGCCATAGGATTGGCTATTTCTAGACTCTCCTGGGATTTCCTCGTGATCCAAAACTAACTTTAGAGGGATTATTTTGGCAAGACGAATATGTGGAAATAATTTTCTTACCCTTCATACCGTCTTAACTTCGCAAAAGCCTTCTGCCATGAAATTCATCACTACTCTGTCGAGGCACTAGCGAGAGCTAAAATGCATTCATGACGTCATCATATCCAGTATTTTAGTCGGGTGTTGGGGGGTTTACCGGGCAGTAGCTTTAGACAGGTCATAGGCAACTAAGGTGAAAACGTTTTCGTCCTCGGTGGAGACATGTGCTTGGCTCAAGGAAGACACAAGGAAGACACCTCATTTGATTCGCTAAACTGCCGGAGACTAACACACAAATGCAAAACAGAATTTCTGTAGCTCTGTAGCCAATTTTTAAATATGATTTTAATAAATCCCGGTTTAAATGGAGGCTATTTCACATGTCAATAGGCCCTTTGCAGGATCCGGTCACATGGTACGGAATTAATTACGCTGGGACGCAAGTTACGCAGTGGGACTTCCAAAACAAAGGAAAGTCGG